ATGTGGTTTCTGCACGATGGTGCACCGCCCCATTTTAGACGCGAAGTGCGTGAGTTTTTGAATGAATTATTTCCGAATAGGTGGATCGGACGTAATGGACCCGTAGCGTGGCCTCCGCGATCTCCAGACTTAACACCATGTGATTTTTTTCTTTGGGGAGAAATGAAACGCTTAGTGTACAAAACTGAAGTGCATACGGTTGACGAACTTCGTCTCAGAATTGAACAAGCTGGTGCTTTCATTCGGGGGAGGGACTCCATTCTCAAAGCCTGCACCGGCTTGGCTACGTCGTGCACGCGCCTGTGTTTTTGAATCAAACGGCGATAACTTCGAACAATACCTATAAAGTACGTTTACCTAAAAACTGAAAACGCGGCAACGCCGTCATATTTGTTACCTCTGTTCGTGGTCTGCACCACCGCCTGCGTCTGCTCGGTAGCGCATCAGCTGATTTCATTTCCTGTTGGAGCGGTATGATTTCGGGCAGAGACGTACTTAGCCCTTCTCGTCAACTGGAGAGTGAGTTTTTCCTTTTTTTTTTTTACTTGGTCGCCCTCGTTTCACTACACATTACCTTTGTTATTTCAAGGGTAGTTGTTTCTGAAAAGGACAACCACAACTTTGCGGACACCCTGTATATACAGGGTTACAGGAAAAGTCGTGCTAGATCCGTTAAGGGCGTGTAGTACCCATCATTTCTGACTTTTTCATTATGAAACACCCTACCCTAAACTTAACCCTTTTCGAGATATTCAACTTTTAATGTTTTTATTGAAAATTGCCGATTTTTAGGCTACTAAATGTATTTTTTTATTTTGTGTGTGTTATTACTATTATTGCATTTTAACATGTGTAATAAGATGCTTTAGGACGTCAATCATTAAAATAGTCCATAAGTTAATTGAATAGGCCGTAGTAGATAAGTGAATGTTAAGAAATTGAAAAAAATATCAGAAAGTTTATTTTTCTCGAAGGGATATCTAAAAAAAATATTATGGCAATTGTTCGGCAGATGTGTTTTAAAATATCTATGTTTTATCAGCTATCTAACGAGGTATAACAATCTAGGATTTGTATTACATTTCGTAGAAAAAAAGTAGTTGGGACGCTCCAGTAGCAGTTCCCACTCCTATTCTCCTTCAAGTTTAGACGCACCGTGCGAGCGAGACATGACGATTTAATGTGGGTGCGAATGAAAGAAAACATATTATAATAACCGGTTAGGGCTGGAAATCCACACGGATGTTGTTCTGGTTGTCAGTCTGCTTTTGTGCTTCGTACATAGTAGATGTGATATCGTTTTGCTCTTTTCCTCGACTTGGCTACGATTCTGGACTATTTCTTCTGATTTGTGAATACTGTGCTTGTTCACTGGACTCTGATTTGTACTTGTGATACGGAAGTGTTGAAGATGACGTCCTACAACCCTGAGGAATATGCTGATATGCTTATTTGTTACGGATACTGCGATTGTGTATCTGCGCAAGCTCGCAACGAATACAGAACTCGCTTCCCCGGTCGGCGAGTGCCGGATGTGGCCGTTTTTAACAGAGTTTATCTAAGACTTCGAGAACTGGCTCTGTTTTGAGACGAAATACAGACCTGGGAAGACCACGAATTTATGACAACGAAGAACTGCATGACAATGAGATAGTGCAACGCTTTCGAGCGGATCCGACCATTTCCACTAATCGTGTTGCCCGTGATCTGGGACTTTCGCAATGGAGAGTGTGGTTTACAGTGCATACTGCTGGCCTATACCCGTACCATTACACGCCGGTACACACTATTGAAGAAGGAGACCCCGCAGAAGGTTGGACTTCAGCAGATTTATGCTAAATGCTGACGTAGAAGACCCAGATTTTCTAAGAAATATCTTATGGACAGATGAATCCAAATTTGATAACGATGGCATAACTAACTATCACAACGCCCATTACTGGGCCCCAAAAGTACTAAGGAATCCCAATAGAAAGAGTGGCGAGGTCCCAACGAAGATTCAGCGTGAATGTGTGATGGGCATTATCTCCAACCATTTGATTGGACCTTACTTTCTCCCGGACAATCTAAATGGGGAAAATTACGAAAACTTCTTGAGAGGAGACTTCAGAGATTTGCTGGATGATCTGCCACTCAACTTGAGAAGGGACATGTGGTTCCAACATGATGGCTGCCCTGCCCATTTCAGGAGAAGTGTCAGAGACTGGCTGGACACAAATTATCCAAACAAATGGATAGGACGAAGTGGGCCGTTGCCATGGCCAGCAAGAAGTCCGGACCTACCCCCATGGATTTTCATGTGTGGGGGTGCATGAAAGTCTTGTCTACAGCGAGCCAAATCCAGTTTCGTCTGTGGAAGAATTAAGAGAAAGGATTGTCGATGCAGCAAATCAACTAAGGACAATGTTGACCCACTGCAGTTGTAAAGACTGGTCTCCGTAGAAGGATGCGACATGTATTAGAAACAGAGGCAGCCATGTTGAACATGAACTGTAGAGTAAGAAAAAGTTGTGTGAAAACCTGATTTAATAAATGATATTTCATGCTTACCTATTGTTTTATTTTACTTTTTAGGGCTAAGTATCAATTTTCTTCTCCACTGTCGCTATGAAACTAAGTTTTTTTCAATGCATTTAAATAAAATCCTAGATTGTTATACCTCGTTAGATAGCTGATAAAACATAGATATTTTAAAACACATCTGCCGAACAATTGCCATAATATTTTTTTAGATATCCTTAGAGAAAAATAAACTTTCTGATATTTTTTCAATTTCTTAACATTCACTTATCTACTACAGCCTATTCAATTAACTTATGGACTATTTTAATGATTGACGTCCTAAAGCATCTTATTACACATGTTAAAATGCAATAATAGTATAATAACACACACAAAATAAAAATAAATACATTTAGTAGCCTAAAAATCGGTAATTTTCAATAAAAACATTAAAAGTTGAATATCTCGAAAGGGTTAAGTTTAGGGTAGGGTGTTTCATTATGAAATAAGTCAGAAATGATGGGTACTACACGCCCTTAACGGATCTAGCACGACTTTTCCTGTACCCTGTATATTGATAATAATGGTTATGCTACAAAATATTAACACAAACATGGTTGGTTTTCTATAATTCATTGAACTTTGCTTCTTTTTTCTATAATTGTTTTGCTTTGTCTATATATTTTGTCCTTCATAGTTAGAGTTTTTTCAATTAATTTTTTATTGAAGGGAGTCTAATGAATTTTATTTATGTATAAGTGAGTATTATGCTATAACGAATTATGTATACAGGTTGGTGTATTAATAAACAAGTTAAAAAAGAAATATACTTTTGTCCATTACTGTATGTAGTATGATTCAGTTCAAATACAGATTCTTTGATTTGTAATTTGTCGGATTGAAGGGTACTCATTAAAATAATTCTGCACTATACAGGATTTTTGAAAAATAGACGAAGATGTTTTAGAGGGTGATTCCTTGTATAAAAGTATGAAAAAGATTTTATAAACATGGGTCCGGAATGCAGAGTTTTCAAGATACAGTGTGACCAATTCAAAAAAAAAATTATTTTCTTTATTAATATCTTAAAAAATATTTACTCGATTCTGGTGAAAATTGGCAATATTATTTGTTGTATAAAGAGGGTAATTCGGCTCTAAATATATTAAAATTATGAGGTCCAGTGGCGTCTCGAGGGGCTGCTTAGCGAATATTATTGCAAAAAAATGTATGCCTCTGCTTTTTTGTAACTTTAATATGTGTTTGATTAAGCATCTAAAAACACAACTTATTTGCTTCTTGTATTTCTTCCGTATCTCACTTCGTTTTCAAGAAAAAAATAAAAACCGTTTTATTGCATGCCACTGGACAAAATTGGTGTATTAATTTAGAAAAGAATTATTCCCGTAATAATTTTTTGCGAAATTTCTCTAAATACTTTTTGTGATGGAAAATTACACTTTTGCACCGAGCCGCCCGTATGCAGAAGCGTTTCCCCATCGGAACTTCCAGATAGTAAAACCTTTGAAAGTGTAGGCAGTAGAACGGGAAAGAGGTAAACTTTCGTATTTCTTTTTTGCGATGTTTTTGACAAAAATGTTTTCTCATTTCCACCAATGATAGAGACCGGCCGAGGTCCGTAAGAACGCCTGAGTTTGACAAGGCTGTTTTACGTGCCGAGGAACAACAGTCTGGTACCAGTAACAGGACTATAGCAACAAGATAGGGGATAATCATTCAAACAGCACTGTGTGGCAGGTACTCTCG